TGTGCGTTCGAGCGGCTCATGGACGGTCGCGCGCTAGTATTGGCGGTTGGCCGGACTCGACGAACAGATACTCGCTCATTCGGCGATATTCAAAAATTAATATCTCGATTAAATATTGCGAATTTTGCAAAATGGTAGAGGACTTTTCGATTCAGTTTAGTCCATTCTATCTACCCATGAGCGGTCATACACCTATTTTGAGACACCCTGTATATACAGGGTAATATAAGTAATTTAATTTACACGTATATTCCTTGCAAATGTATAATATATTTATTTTTATATGTACATAATAAGACATTTATTGTAATAATTGACAACAAATAAACATTAATTGGCGAGAATTCTTTTAATAACATGAAATGATTCTTTTTTTAAACATTTAATTGCTCGTCGTATTCATTTACAATTCTTGTGCTGACTGTTAATATTAAAAATTTTTTTTTACGAATTTAACAAAACACTAAAGTACAGTTGTTGTGAAATTAAAATCTTTTTCAAACCAAGCGAAGAATAAGACAAGATTCTATCATTTATTTGCAAAAGTTTTTCAAGCTTTGTCTCTTTTAAAGTCTTTAACAAACTATAAGCTTATAAATTTGTTTGTCTTACTGTTTTCTAAACCAAAAATAAATCGCAGCAGCACGTAGTCATATGTATCATAGACCCTTGCGCCGCCGTGCCACGCCGCCACCGCCGATAAATTATTATTCGCCGATTCCGCCGTCGCCGATTTTGAAATTTTCGCTGAACGCCGCCGCCGCCGCCGCCGAAAATTAATACGGCGCGCCGAAAGAAAGCGAAATGCTATATATGTTCTATAAATATTTTATATACATTAGTTGGAGTATATATTATATTGCGTCATCAGTAATTTATTGGAAAATACTCAGGCTACAGTTTACTTGAAGCTACAAATGCTTCCAAGGGTTTTATTGACCAATCACAGTTGATTAATTTTCTCATTTTCGAGTTTTTTGACTGTGATTAATCAATTTCTTACAAGTTACGACTTACGACTCCTATTGTTGATGCCGCATAAATTTCGCCTCATCGATGTCTGTCGATGATCGATCTATTATATACATACTATATGAGAAGTTCGTTAGTCGTTACTGTTACTCGTTCGTTGGACGTTGATCGTTACCAGTCGTAGCAGTTCCGCAATTATTACCGGCGTCACGTACCAGCGTGAACGAAAATAAATGTGTATGCAGTGGGCGTATGTTGTGCGTTTTTGTTTATACTCAGTTTTCGTGAACAAGAT